GTTGCGCACGGCCGCTTCCCGCTCCGCGGTGCCCGGGCGCAGATGCCCGCCGCCGCCAGCATACCCTGCCTGACGCACTTTGCACCTTAATTAAAACTTCCAGTTGCAGGATGGAACAAGCAAATAAAAAAAGCGCAGAACATGCGACGGACTTGGAGGCGTTGTTTGATGTCCCGTCCTGCGTCCCCGACATCGACGCTGTGGCATCGTTTTGGACAAAGAAAGATTGTGTGTTTCACCGCCGTTCCCCAAGGGGGCACTGTGGTGGCTTGAGAGTGCAGCGCTCTTGCCTCACACTCCTAGGGTTGGGGGCGCGAATGCTGTGTGTGTGTGGAGCCTGTATGGTCTCCCTGAGCCGTGTGGGTGTCCTGCTAGCCCCCCATATTCCTCCTGCAGACCTGCAAACCTGCAGTGAGGCTAATTGGTATCTTAAAATCGCCTATGGTGTGTGACTGTGTATGTACCCTGTGATGGGCTGTGATGGTCCTTTCCAGGGTGTACCCTGTACCCTGTACCCTGTGCCCCCCATAACCCTGACCAGGATAAGCAGTTATGTAGGATAGATGGTTTTATAACTATACTTTATTGTATTAAGTTACTTAATTTAAGCTATTTATAATTTCCTGTCTTGGTCTAGCTGAAAAGACCAACCTTGACTTCAAGTCAAGAATTCTATTTATTCTTATGATTAAAATCATTGTTACTTTATTATTACTACTATTATCCTACTACTGTAGTTATAATTAGTTCAAATATTTCCACTAATATAGTGCTGCCATGTGGCCATTTAGCTAACCTGCTGGGAAAGTGGTGGACTTCGTCGGCATTTTGGTGGTCGGTCGCCGCGCGGTGTAAAACCGCCGATGTGTCCCCGACAGACGATCGAGTTCGACGAGGGCGCCGGGGCGGTGCTGCGAATCCAGCCTCTGCGTGCCCCGCGGGACGAGAACACCTACGAGTGCAAGGCGGAGAACAGCGAGGGCGACGTCACCATCACCGCTAAGCTCTCCATCATCCGAGGTAAGGCAGGCCTCCGTCAGTCAGTGCCGATTCTGGGAGGAGGGCGTAGGCGGGGCCATGATTCATGCTGATTGGCCAGCCTTACCAGTAGCCAATGAGATGATTTGAATCGGTGAGTGACAGGGGAGGGGGCACTGTGGGGGCCAGTAGGCTTTCAGCTGCGGCCAGTGCCCTTGCGGCCCCGCCCCTGGTGGACTGTCAACACAGAAGGGAGGCTCCTGGGTAATCGCTTTGGCAGAGGGACAAGCTCACGACGGGATCCACGCAGCCAGTGGCAGCACGTTAATTACGGCTGAGCCGCGATGTCAAAGGGTCGTGAGCCAATAACCAGATGAGACATTGCCTCAGCGTACCAGTGACAGGGGAGGAGGCACTGTGAGGGCCAATCAGCTTTCAGCTGGGGTCAGTGCTCCTGTGGCCCCACCCCTGCCGTCAGTGTCCCCAGCATAGATGGGCAGAAACGTGGCTGTTCCCATGACCCCTCAGGGCAACATGTCTGTGCCCATAAGAGACAAATGTTGATTGGCTGGTATTGGGAGAAGGAGCCGCTGGACAGCGACAGGCTCCAAGTTTCTGCTCGTTCTCCGATTTTTTTTCCGTCTTTTTTTTTTTTCTTTCCCAAAAGTGAAAAGCCGCTTTTAGGAATTCACTGACATCTTGGCGCCAGACGCTGAACAGGAGGACAGGAAGGAACAGCCTGTCATACGTCCAAAATGAGGAAGAATGTAAAGCTGCATGGTGGAGGTGGAGCTTTAAACAGCCATCTGTAAACGCAAAAAACGCTAAAACCTGCCGTTACGGCGCTTAGCAACCGGTCTCTTCACCGGTCGTTTAGTAAGTGCTTGTGTATTTATACGTTACCGATGCCACCAGCTTTCCTTAATGCTTATCTGCTGGTTTGTTTTGGACCGGCGTTCCTTACTCTGAAACGGTCACACTCCGCCAGGCCCGTGATGCTATGCTGCCTATGGGGAGCGCGGCCCGGTCCGCGTTTCTGCTTTATTTGTGCGTTAGCGTTTGGCTCGTTCCCGCCATCTGCCCGGTTCCACCTCAGCGGCAGGCTTGGCAGCCGCTCAGTGCCCGCCTTGGTCTCCGCCCAGGATGAGGGCAGTCGCAGAAGGCCTGTTCTGCGCGACGTGGGGGGTGGTTGGCAGGGCGCGGCCGGCTGCGCTGTTCACGCAAGTCCGGTGCCTGCGGGATCGCCTCCTGTCCATCTGCTCCTAGCCCGGCGTCACTGCGGCATCGGCGTGGTCTGCAGAGGCCCGGGTGCGAGCAATCCTCTCGCTCCTCCTGCAGCGTGTGTGTGTGTGTGTGTAGGCACGTATATATTACATCGTGGGGACCATTTATTTATCTAATTTTATAAAAATCTGTGACTGCAGTCAAAAAACTAAAAATGGCAAACGACCTGTATTTTGTTTGGTTGCTTATGGTTAAGGTTAGGACTGGGTGGGGGTTAAGGTTGTCATTGTTGGGATTAGGGTTTTGTCCAATGAATGGATGGTCCCCACAAAGATGAGTATAGGTGTGTGTGTGTGTGTGTGTGTGTGTGTGGGGACCATCAATTTCCTTCCACCTTGAGGGTTGACAGATCCAAACAGCCCCCCTTCACATGGTTCCTCCCTTTCAGCTTCATATTCAAATCCAATATGCGCCTTAATGCAAATAAAAGTCCAGTGGTCAGCTAAATGATTTCACTCTAATCAAGTAAATTACATAAATGCGCGCTTTTGGTACCCAGAAGCTCCCTTTTGGGTTCTGGCCTGCGGTGCTGGGCTGCTCTGGAAGTCGAGGTAACCAGCTATAAACTCACACATATAAATCCAGAAGTTTGGCTGCACAGCCAAGCTGGGATTAGGGGACCCCAGATGTAATAGGACATATAGGAAGAAGCAAGTGTTTTAATTATACGATGTAGGGTCCACAGTAGCACCGTGTCACCAAGCCACCGCATCAGGTTGTGTGGGGGGGGGGGTTCTATGCGCCCGGTAGGATCGGCGCTTCGGTCAGACAGGCCGCTAATTGGCTTCCTTCCCCGTGCGCTTGGGCTGGATCGCCTTCTGCGGCTTTAATTGGGCCGGGCTGACCCCTTCCCTCACTCAGAATCGTTTTATTATCTCGCCAGCAGCTTCGGGGAGCGATCCGGGGTGCGATCCCTCTCTCATTATCCTCGCTGTGCTTCTGTCACTCCTCCGAGGGGGACGGACCCACCGCTCTCAGGGTGTCGGCACCACCGCGTTCGTTATCCCTTCCCAGTGCACAAGCCTGTTTTTTTTTTTCTCTCCTCTGTTTATTTTTCTTGACCTGCATTTAGTTGGGGCAACAGCCTTCATTTTTCCCGACTCCATTACGCCGTGCGTCCTGATAAACCGTCCGAGATTAAAAACGCAGCGATTTTTCTCGCCGTCCATTAATCGCCGGCCTCGTATTGTACCTCGACTGCCTATGACCCCAGGAAAACAAGGAGAGGGGGATTATGGGTAAAGTAGCACAGAAACACCCTGAAGTTGCATTTTTCTGCTTCAGGAGCTTAGAGAGTGATGCGGACTGTCTGCCACTGAAGGTTTGGGGCGTTAGCAGTGACAGACGGGGATTAGCAGAGTATGGCTGATTAGCATTGCAGTTGAACTCTTCCGGACAGTTGAGCGGTGCTGTAAGAAAGCACTTTATCATGTAGGGAGGCCAGTGGCAGCTGGTGCTGGGCCTAGACCCAGCCTGGGTGGCTGGGATTAAGTCTCACACCTCATACCCCTCCTTCCAATGCACAGAGTTTTAGTGGGAATGCGATTAACCTTGTCTTTGCTGCTTCCATGGGATATTTCTCATGTTCCTGGGTGTTGAGACCCTGTCAAGTCAAGTCAAGTGAGCTTTATTGTCACGCCTTTCATATACAGGTGTACAGTGGCACAAAATAACGTTTCACCCGGACCACATACAACATGCAACACGCAACAGCAGGGGGAGGGTTTTCACAAGGCTTGAAGTGCAAAACACACGGGACAGTGCAAAAATGTGAAAGTAAGACACAAGGGTTTATATACATAAGGGAACTAGGGGAGGACTGATAGGCAGGGCCCGGGCCCCCCAGCACCGTCAAGGGGCCCCTTCCAACTGCAAATCTCACATGTATGCAAAATATATGAAATGATTAAGGTGCTGAATTCATACATGTTATAAAAGCCTGTGACATGCTACTTGTATATCACTCAAGTTTATCTATACAGTCTCATTATGGTGGGAGCCAAAACACAAAAAAATATTTGGTACAATACTACTTTGAAATGTAATAGTTTGTGATGTTTTGTAGTCAAACTATGTTGTCGAGGTGTGTATTTAATGAACAAAAAGCATGCTTGTGGAATTTTCAAACTACTGCAGTGCATGATGGGTACCTTGTTTGGAGACTCCTTAAATGTTATAATCTGCAATTGCTGCAGCTGGCGTAGGCAAACCCTAGGTGTGAATTTGTAAAGGGGGGGGGGGGGGGGATGGTCCATTTTCGCCCCAGGGCCCAGTGTACAGTTCCACCTCTGAATGGAACGTGTATGTATGTAAACAAGAAGCAAGACAGCAGTAGCATAATGCGACATAATACATATGGCAGCTAAAAGGTACCAATAACCAGATAATAATAATAAGTTAAAGTGACCATTGCCAGTCCGGGGGGGGTTGGGGGGGCTGTGCATGACCTTTTCTCACACACAGCTGCCCCTTGACCTCACCCCGCGTAACCCCAGCCCGTGGCTGACCCCCAGTCTGTCGATGCCGGGTGGTAATTAGCTGGAAAATTAGCATCGATGCATGGAGGGCTGGCGGCTTAGCGGAGCGGTGGGGGGAAAGGGGGGGGTGCCTGGTAACCCAGGCACGCCATTGGCTGCGGGGTCCGGCATCGGGATCATGTGCGACCCTAACAGCCGGGTACATGGGGCCCACACATTGGTCCGGGATCATTTACACAGGGGTGGGGGGCGGGGGGTGGACCAGGGTCAGAACTAATGGGAATTTAAATCCCTGCTGATGGTGGGGTGTAGTCAGGTGATAAGTAATTTCACCAGCTAATCCCACATCCCATCCTTCGCTCTCCACACCTTCTGGATCCTTCGGCTCAGCCGGGGAGGAGTGCCGTGTCCCCCCCCCCCCCCCCCCCCCCCCCCCCCCCCCCCCCCCCCCCCCCCCGCCGGGGGGGGGGGCCGGTGCCCCCCCCCCCCCCACCCGTCACAGCCTCACAGACTCAGCTCCTCACTGCTGTAATGCCCCTTTGTTAGCTGCTGTAGCGTCTGCGCAGATCGATGCGCCGGCGCGATCCTGTCCTATGTTGGGTATCAGAGTTTGCCCGGCATCTCCTGACCTGCTCGTGTAAATTTAAGGAAGGCGGAGCCAAAGACTGCGGCACCAGCTCTCTGTTTATTGTTTTTAATGGGCCCTCTAATGGCATTTCTGCATCTATGCAATTATGCTCCACTATGTAATTGTGGATGAAGAAAAAGGCACATTGTTCTTATACTTGTAATTAAACTAATAAATCCTGTTAAACGGGCGCTGCATACTCATTGTGCTGCATTCTGCAGAAATGTGCAGGGTGACGGCGTGTAATGGCTCCGAGCCGCAGTCAGACACGTGGGGGGACACGGGACGGACAGCGGCTCTCGTAAAGGGCCCCCCTGCCCCCCCCATGATGCAGTTTAGCCACTTCGCTCGTGACTTTTATTCGACGCGGCTTACTAAGCATTTGGTCTTACTGAGAGCCGGCGCCTCTAGGGTTTGCGGGTTGGGGGGCTTGTCGGTTAGATAGGGAGGAAGGGGTGGGACAAATCTAACACGGGAGTGAAGGTGTCTGAGGTTTCGCTGCAGGGTGTGCGGGCTGCCCGATTCAGCCCGGTCGCCGGTTCGAGCTCAGCCTTGGCACGACTGCGGGTCCTTCAGCGATGCCCTTAACCCCCAGCTCCCTGGGCGCTGCTATGGGGGGGGGGGGGCGCCCTTCGTGACCAGCTTGCTCTCAC